CAGCCGGAGGATAACGGTCTAACTGAAGGAGTAAACGTCACAAATCAATTTGCTGTATTTTAAACGAGTAAGAAGATGAAAGAGCTAAACTTTGATTTATTTTTTCAATGCTAATAAGGTTAGGTATTAAATTAATCCAGAATTTTGACAGTAACTTAATCATTGAATTCAAATGTCTATTGTTTTAATTAAAACTATAGTTTAATTTTTAATAAAAAGGAACATTCTATTGCGGATATGCTAGTATAGACTTTTACAATTTAAATAAAAATAAAATGTCTCATTATTCACAATTAATTAATAACTCAAAGACAAGAATAAAACTAAAGAAGTCAAAGTCTATCTAAAATTCTTTATCGCTTTATCTTATAATAAAAAAATGTCTCAATATACCCAATTATTTGAAAAAAATATGAAAGTAGCCAGAGAATAATAATTAAAAAAAGAAAATTAAAATCCAAGAATTAACAACATCGAAACAATTAAATAGCTTCGAATAAAAATAAAACCACAAAAAGTCCCACTCTAAAGGTTAGATTAAATATGATAAATTAAAAGAAAAGCAAAAAATACAAAATCAATTAAATAATTAAATTAGTAGAAATAAAGATTTCATAAGAAAGCAATAAAACAACAATCAACATATAGTACAGTTCTTTAAGAATATGAAATAAACTAAACTAAATAAATTAATAAAATATCAAATTTAATTCTTAAGCTGTTTCTTTTATTCAAAGAATAAGGTAAAAATTTAAATGTATCTGCATGAACCCATTTTTGGTTGTTTAAATTTAATTTAGTACAAGATTAATCTAAAACCACTAGTTATAGAATGAGATATGTAAGAAAAAGTAAACAGATCGATCATCAAAATTTAATAGGAGATGAGTTAAAAAGGAGGTCTATTGGCTAAAAGTTATTTCAAAGTCTTAATACTCAAGGAAAAATTCTTTATATTAAACTTTAAGATAAAGATTTTATCAATAACCATATGTCACTCGGCACATTTACAACATAGAAACCTTATATCCTAAAATGTTAACCATCGTTATGTTATTTTATCTCAGATTTTCTAATTTAGGCTCCTACATTTCATAGCTCTTATATCACTTTTTTGATTTATGTGAAACATAAAACAGCATATGCCCAATATTTTGAGAAAATTTTCAATTAATCAAAACTATTATATTAGAGGATTTAAAATGACAAAAATGAATGAATAAATAATAGTTATAAAAAGGATATAATTGTTTTTTCCTAATTCAAGAATAAGTGGAGACGTTGCTATTATCATAGAGGGAAACTTCAACAATGATAACTTCAAACTTATAAAATTCTTTTTGATTAATTAAATACATTGTTTTAAGAAATTCCAAGTAGGATTGCCTTTTTATATAACCTGAGTAAGTAGGAGATAATGTGGTAGATGATGTTGAAGGTCATGATTAAGACAGAATCGAGAATCCTCTTTAATTATAAAATACAACTTAAATTATTGTGAAAGTAATAAAAACATTGAGTGCAACTTGCATAAAAATCTAATACCTATAAGAATAATCACAGGAATCAGATGGTTATGTAGATTTGAGGCAAATTTTCAACTAAAAAAGGAAGCGGCCCTAATGTCCAATACTGTATGGTTCAGTAGCTAATACAGCTGCAGCAGAATCTCTAAAAACAAAAGAAATGAATGGGGTTGATGACTAAAGCTGTAGAAAGTGCAAGAGTTGAAAAAACAAATATACGATGTATGTGTCAAATTATCTCCATCTTTATGGCATTAGGATTGTAAAGATACTAATAAAATCCATTTCATTAATCACTAGCGTTCACATGTCCTTAGTGCTAACAATTTACAAGTTAGTCAAACGGAAACCTTCTGTCTATTCTCAAATATTTTTATTACTGTGAGAAACAGCAATATAACTACAAGAAGGAATTTAGGTGGTGAAATCAGCATTATAGCTCCTGTGAGAATAAGTGAGTAGATTTGATTCACAGTATTAATAGAAGATTATTAAATTTAATTTACAATATCTTATGCATCGCAAGGCTTAGTCCCATTCATTATACCTAGTTATTCTTATTCTTATTTTTTTATCATTATATCAGGATTGGCAATGCAAACCTGTAGTACGAAAATAAATAAACCAACTACTTAATATCTTCATCGTGTTGCCGGCTAATATCACAAGTGTAGTTATTACACTATCATTTTCTGTCACAAACACACGTCAAGCTAAAAAGATTGCCTACTCGATAACTATTATTATAGAAATATCTATTACAATGACCTCTAGGTGTTTTTAAACGTAGTCATATCAATAATATATGAAAGGGTATGTCGGCTTTCTTGAAACAAACTCTGGCTCTTCTAATATGCGAATATGCTAATCAATATCATGCAAATTAATAGATACAACTCATTTACATCATGACAGTCTTACAGTGGTGATTGCGCCTATATTCATCGACTGTGATTCAAAAATGTAGTGCTTGCAGCCAGACACATATTTCATTCTTTTTTAGATGTTGTCAAGTCTGAACTTACTGATACAACTTGAAAGGTATTAATTGAATGTTGTCCTTTGTTTTGGTGTAAGCGATAAAAAGACAAAAATATATCTAGTAGCGCTTGTCTTGATGTGTAAATTATTTGCTACATATGAGATTTTATTAGTTGTATCACCTATTGCGCTTCATAGTTGCTTGACTTGTGATGAGCAATTTTATATAAATTGGCATCCATATATCAGCTGTAGATAACCTATAATTTTTGCTCAAAAAATTGTTAAGTGATAAATATTTGTAGATTCAACTTTAATAATCAGAATAATATTAACATTATATTGTTATGATTATAAAAAAAGTTCCCTAAATTCAATGTGGTTACTTGAATTTGATTGTCTACACTGCGGTGTTAACTGCTCAACCTCTTATACTAAGTTAAGGGATGTTTTAGCAGATGCCATTATTTTTGTCCAATTATTAAATAGGAATAGTATTCAATTTCTAGCTTGCATCTCAATACTTTTATTTTAATAGAGATACTTTCCTTGCTCAGATTAAATAAGTTGGTGTAAGTTGAATCATGGTGACTGATTCTTTCTTTTAAGCTAGCAATAATTTAGCAATTTTTTCAACTCTATTTGGTATCAGCTAATCCTGTAAATATATTCGTTAGGATTCTTTGATTACTGGTAAAATTTGTTCTTAGAATTCAACTCACCTAATGTCACCTAAATAATCTTACTATTAATCTATGCATATAAAATTTTTTTGAACATAACCCTTTTGATTAATATTAGAGCCCTCAAATCTACAGTAATCTTAAAATTATTGCTCCTTGGCATCCTTAAAAGTAATTCTGCTTGTAAATAAATTTGCGTCCTCATGCTTAGGTAGCTACTTCTTCCAATGTGTTAGCACAGCTTTACTTTTCATCCCAGACCGAATTAAAGCATGCTTGAGTTGTTAATCCGTAAATTACTACAATCGCTTTTT